GGTTTCCGAGGCTGTAAATCTTTACAGGAGCAGAATGCCTCATCTTTCTTCCGCGGAACAGCTGGTAGTTTTGAACTGCTGACCCTGAGGTTAGCAGCTCGATTCGTAACCACTACGCTACCAGAGCTCCAGGAGCTGAAAAGCCTCATCGTTCTCCCATGGAACAGCTGGAAGATTCGAACTGCTGGCCTTGTGGTTAGCAGCTCAGCTCCTAATCCACTGTGCTACCAGAGCTCCTTATATATTCAGTAGAACAATCAGAATGATCTTTTGAAAAGACCCCCAACCCCCACCGAGATCAAGTCAGACCTGTGCTCCACCGATTGCCATCTTACTCAAAATCACACCTGATGTCACCACTAAAAGCCTGAGGGACACAGAAATTCAACTCTTTCCTCCTCTAACGTCAGTGCCCCTCTTGTTCACTTTATTCTGTTCCCATCCTTGAGAGAAGAGTTTTGATAACCTCCACAGTGATGCAAATCTGTCAGTTTCTCACCATAGTTCTATCAGTTTTGCTTTATACTTTGATTCTTACTAACTATCAAGCTGAGAGGGACTAGCATTGGCCATTTTGAATCAATCATATGGTTTAATATGCTGATAATGACAAGCTGAAGATGAATGGCGTCACATTCATCATTGAAAAGAGCATTTTAAGATCTATGTTGAAGTACAATGCTATCTGTATAGGATTCTATTTATACACCTACAAGGAGTCCTGGTACTGTAGGATAAGCACTGGACTGCTAATCGCAAAGTCAGTGGTTCAAACCCACCAGCTGTTCCTCTGACACTCTATATAGGGTCTCTATGAGTTGGAACCCACTCAACAGCATGCAATAAAAATGCATGCCAGTTATACTACTACCAGTGAAATTTACACACTGCCGTGTCCGAGCTGAAGGTCATGGTTACGTACAAGGAAAAACCTTGCAAGTTCCCTGTCCCCCGAGGCAGCCCTGCAAGTTCCTCAGGGGGCAGCTTGACCTGGGAACAGCCCGATTTTCTGGACCACAACTGGTCAATTGCAATCCTTTGGTTAAACTACCCCCAAGTCTGAGACTTTTGGTTCAGTAGCTCCCAACAACACACCAACCACTAAAGCCAGTGATGATGAAATTGAAGAATTCTACAAATTTTTTCAAGGAGCTCTGGTAGCATAGTGGTTACGAATTGGGCTGTGAACCTTAAGGTCAGCAGTTTGAAACTACCAGCTGTTCCATGGGAGAAAGATGAGGCTTTCTGCTCCCGTAAAGATTTACAGCCTCAGAAACCCTGTACAGGGCTGCTATGTGTTGGTTCTGACTCCTCGGCACATAACCACCACCACCACCAACTTTTCCAGGCTGAGGTTGATGAAACATACAATCAGGATGCATTGATAATTACTGGTGATTGGAATGAAACAGTTGGAAACAAAGAAGAAGGATTAGTCATTCGTGATAGAAATGGTGCTAGACCAATGACTTGTTCATTGCAGATACCTTAATTTCAACAACATAGAGGATGATTGTATACATGGACCTCACCATCTGGACTACACATGAGTCAAATTGACTGTATCTGTGGGAGCAGACCATGGAAAAGCCAGATCTCATGAGTCCAAACAATGCCAGGACTCAACTGTGGAAAAGATCATCAGTGGCTCATATGCAATTTCAGGCTGCAGCTGAAGAAATGAAAACTCTGAGAATAAAATTGTTACCTTAAATAAATCCCACCTGAATTCAGAGACCATCTCAAGAACAAATTTGATGCATTAGACACTAGTGACTAAACACCAAAAAAGTTGTGGGATGACATTAAACGCATGAAGAAAGCAAAAGGTCACTAAAAAGACAGAAAAGAAAAAAAAAAGATCAAAATGGATGTCAGAAGAGACTCCGAAATGTACTTTTGAGTGTAGAAAAGCTGAAGCAACTAGAAAAAATAAGGAACTTTCAAAGAGCTGAATGTAAAATTTCAAAGGCCAGCTTGGGAAGACAATGAAAGCATTATATTGAAATCTGTAAAGACCTGGAGTTAGAAAACAAAAGGGAAGACCATGCTCAGCATTTCTCAAGCCGAAAGAACTGAAGAAAAAGTCAAGACTCAAAATGAAGGGTTCTACAGGCAAAGTGGTGTGATATTGTATAATGCATGTAAATGGATTAATGTGCTGGACTGCAGAGTCAGTTTGAACCACAAGGTCAGCAGTTTAAGCTCATTAGCCACTCCTCAGAAACCCTATACAGGGTTGCTATGGGTTGGAACCAACTCGACAGCATGTAGCAACAACAATGGGAAAAATGTTGGACATCAAAAGAAGATGGAAAAAATACACTGAGTCACTGTACCAAAAAGAAATGGTTGATGTTCAACCATTTCAAGAGGTAGAAAATGCATAAGAACTGATGCAATTTCAGGAAAATGTCCCAGGATGTACAGAAGGCATTGTCAAAAGACAAGGATCCAGGAATTGAAGGAATACAAATTAAAATGTTTCAACAAACCTATGCAGCTCTGGAAATGTTCATTCATCTATGCCAAGGAATTTGGAAGACCAACTGATTGACAGAGATCCATATTTGTGCCCATCCTGAAGAAAGTGACTTAACAGAATGCAGAAATCATCAAACAATATCATTAATATGAAAGTAAAATTCTGCTGAATGCATTTCAAAAGCAGTTTCTGACAGGCAACTGCCAGAGATATGCTGAAATTGACGAGGACTTGAAGTATTTACCTACGTAGATGAAAACTATAGCCCTCAATATGGATTACATATTGACATAAAGAAAACACAAATCCTCACAACTGAACCAGTAAACAACATCATCATAAATGGGGAAAAGATTGAAGTTGCCAAGTATTTATTTTACGTGGATCCACAACCAACTCTCATGGAAGCTGCAATCAAGAAATCAAAGGACGTATTGCTGAAAAAGACTTTAAATCTGCGGCAAAAGACTTTAAATTTATGTCACTTTGAGGACTGAGGTGCTCCTGACCCAAAGCATGGTATTTTCAATCACCTCATACACATGTGAAAGTTGGGCAATATATAAGGAAGACCAAAGAACAGTCTATGCATTTGAATTATAATGCTGGTGAGGAATATTGAAAGTATTATGGACTGCCAGCAGAGCAAATGAATCTGTCTTGAAAGAAATACAGCCTCCTTAGAATGAGGATAGCAAGACGCTGGCTCTCATACTAAGGACCTAGTGTCGGGAGGATTCAGTCCCAGGAGAAGGACAGCATGCCTGGTAGAGTCGAGTCATCAAAAAAAAAAAAAAAAAAAAAGGCGGGGGGAAAAGACCCTCAATGAGGCGGATTGTTACCCTGGCTTCAATAATGGGCTGAAACATAACAATTGTGAAGATGGCTGAGAAGCGGGCAGTGTTTCATTGTGTTGTACACAGGGTTGTTATGAGTCTGAACCATCTCTGTGGCACCTAACCACAACAACATACAGTCTACGTGAGTTCCTGGGTGTTGCAAAGTGTTAACATGTTCTCTCCTAAGTTGGAAGTTCAAGTTCACCCAGAGACACCTGGGAAGAAAAGTCTGGCAATCTACTTCTGAAAAATGGGTCATTGAAAACCTTATGGAGCACACATGGGGTTACCAAGGATCTGAGTCAAGTGGATCGCTACAAGGTTTTATACAGTCTATAAATAATATTTATGAATATCACATTCAGTCTTCTCATCGTCATCGGTAGGGGACATTCTTTGCACTTGTTTGATGTTTGCTAACCATAAGGCTATTTTCAGAACATATTGCAATGTAATTGACTTATGTTAAACAGAAACAAATAACACTTTATAATGGTCTAGCATAGTGGTTACGAATCAGGCTGTTAATCAGTTCGAAACTACCAGCTGTTCTGTGGGAGAAAGATGAGGCTTTCTGCTCTCGTAAAGATTTACAGCTTCGGAAACCCTGTACAGGGGGTGCCGTGAGTCAGAACCGACTTCACGGCACATAACAACAACAACAGCAACACTACTCATTTGAAATGAAATAGCAACTGAAATCCTTATACCCTTTACCATTAAAAGGAAGCATTAGTTATGCCTACTTTGAAGCTTTTTAAAATCAACATATACAAAATCAAGAAAAAGAAAAATATGAACATACCACTTTGTATAGCAGCAATTGCATTTTCCTTTGCATCAAGTGCCTTTAAAATGCCTGAGTGGATTGCTGTGTAAATGTCATGTGTGTTTCAATGATGCCATAATGACTAGACCCAGCCGAGCACAACGTCTTAGTCTATAGAAGTACTGGACTCCCGTGAAGGTTAAAAAGCCTGGGATAGGTACCAAGCTGCACATGAATGTGGCAGCATGATTGAATTGGTGAACACATTGACTCATCGGTGCAGCCTGAAAATTATGTTCCTTTGCCTCCTGTGAACACGTTTTCTAATTTCTCATTTTTTTATTTTTAAATTGTATCTTAGGATCTGCTTCAAAACACAGATGCCCACAAAAGAGCATTCCATGAAATCTACCGAACCAGGTCTGTTAACGGGATCCCTGTGCCCCCAGATCAGTTAGAAGACATGGCAGAGAGGTAAGAGAATGCTTGGTTTGCAATGAAGTCTCTTATAAAATGCCTGGGGGAAGGGGTGCTTTTACCATTTCTTTCCTTTGCAAGGGATTTCTTTTTTCTACAGAGATGTTTACAGTTGGTAACTAAACATCAGGATTCCATAAGACCTGCTAAGAATGCCAAGAGTCTATTATGTTGTGAATTGAAAAGAGTAAACCTGAATTTATTGAGAGCCTGGAATTCACAGGGAAAGCTTCTTCTTGGGCTGTATTGTTATTCGATACTGTAAGGAACATTATGTAATATTGCTAAAGCAGCTTAGAAAAGAAACCCAGGAGCGATGTGTTGGCAAGAGAAAGCACTAAATCAGACTTCAATCAATCCTTTGCCTTAAAACAGACACCCAGAAAAGGAATCAGATCTCCAGACAGATAGTGATCCACCAGAGTTGAAGGACCCTGAACTGAGGCTGCCTGATTTTAAAAGCTGACATGTAACAGCTTAAAGAAGCATCATTTGGTTACTATTAGTTACATTCTGTGAATTCTCGGTGTTTTATTTCTAGGTTTCATTTTGTTTCCTCCACATCAGAGCTGCACTTGATGAAAATGGAATTTCTAGAATTAAAGTACCGTCTGCTCTCACTGCTGGTTCTTGCAGAGTCGAAGCTGAAGTCTTGGATCATCAAGTATGGGCGAAGAGAATCCGTGGAATTACTGCTGCAGAATTACATTGTGAGTGTCCCTTGTGCTTTGACAGAGAAATAGAGGAAGCATGGATGCAGCATCTGACATCTACCAGTTTATTTGAGGCTCTCTTTTCATCCATAATTAAAGAATAAAGGTGCCTGGTGCGAGATGGATTAGATAGATGTTTTATGACCCCCTGATAATTATCTGAAGTTAAAATTGATATTTTTAGAAATTTGAGCCTCTAAAATACTCTTGTTTAGGAAGGTTTTGGTGCACTAGCAGTGTTGAACAGGTATGCCTGGCTTTTATTGCTTAAAAATAAAAGTTTTTGCCCTACATACCCACGACTTTGACGGTAAGGCTCACCATAGAAATTGAATGTACTGGAAACTTATCTACCACTCTTTCTGTGTTAGAACAAATATAACTTATTCATATGGAGACAATCTTTTGAATTCTAATTTTTTCAATTAGGTCTTTTATCTTTCCTCATAATCACCCCCCAAGCTCTGTTTTTTGTTGTTGTTTGTTTTCTGTGTACTCAGGGAAAGTCCAATGTTGTCTATGAAGCGCTGTACCAACTTGATATGTAAATATTATCTCATATTTGGAGATATCTGTTTTCATGTAGAAATATATAGAATCCTATAAGGGGGTTTCAAAAAGTTTGTGGGAAAATTCCAATGTCTTTTAATTCCATTTTCCCTTCAACTCGTTGAAGCCCTCTTGTGTAGAATGCACATGGAATAACAGTTCTACATTAACAACAATAACAAAAAGATGTTATACTGTGATTGTCTGTTGCCATTTACATGTAGTTAGTATATTATGTTGATTAAAGGTGGTTTATTTCTCTTAGTGAATTAACCATATCCCCTCGTACAAGCTTATTGGCAATATATGTTTGTTCACAAATTAATCTGTTACAGAATTTCTCATTCCAGTACGATTCCGTTTATGTTTCATCACAGATTAAAAATGACAGTGTAGTGAACTTTTACAATATAAAGCTATTTCTACCCAGACTAATCTTAGTAACTCTGTGTGTACTTACTGAGTGACTTATTAAAAGCATGCATTTACAGAAGCATCAGGATTATATTTTTGCTGCATTTTCATTCTTTTTTTAAGTAATGAGTGAGCAACATGCATTTTTAAAATTAAGATTTAAGAGGATTCCAGTAATAGGTTTCTTAAGATCTATTCAATAGTTTAGGAATCATTTGTCAAAACTATGAGATCCATTTTTGATTGATCATAATTGTCATGTGCTCCTTAAATCATATTTTTGGAAAGTAAAACAAAAAATCCAAAATGTTAAGCTTAAAAAATCGCATGATTCCTTTAAATATTAAATGTAGTTATGCATTTATATTTTCAGGTGTAGTCTTGTCAAATGATACACACTGAGCCAAGTAGGTAATTATACAAGTTTCATCTTTGTTCTAGTTATTTAAAGACAGCCAATCAGATTCAAATGTCTAATGGGACCATTCCACTAGGTTGATATTCCAAAACAATGATGCCAGCAATTCTCTTTGAACTTCTCAAAATAAAGGCTATATAAATAGAGAATTGTTATTAATGATTAAAAAAAAAAAATCAGTACTTCCTGCCTACTCCATGAAGTTAGAAAAGTTCACTAAGCTGCTAATTTTAAATGCTTTGCAACTCTCAAAATGATTTGAAAATTGCTATAATTACTTTACAAACATAACATGTTTTAATGAAGATTTCTTAATATTCTCATCTCTTGAAGAAGGTTGCCTATTTATATTAATCGTGACCATGAATTATTGTTCATTCTTTGCTCATGTTTCATTTCTCCTTAAACTGAGAAAGAGTTTGAACTGACTTTCTGTTCAGTAGTTAGAATGTCCATAGGGTGCTGCTCTTTTCCATGCCAATTTCAGCCTGACCCCTGGGTGTTTCACATTGTTTTATATACAGTGGAGATTTGGGGAGTTTCCAAGCCAGATCACATACTCAAGGGCCACTAATGGTTAGAGGTGGAACCTGGATTTGAATGTAAATCATTCCAAATCAAAAGCCCTTTGCTTAAATACGGGGCTATGTAACCTAATTGGCTATGAAAAAGCTGCTTTAAATTAAAAAGCCTAAATCATTGGTATCTCTACTTTAGTCATCTGAAGACTGTGGCTCACATAAGTTAATCATTTCATTTAATAGTCATCTATATTTGACAACAGTTTATGCTTAGGCACTTTAGCTTGAGACTTGCTATTATTTATGTGATAGCAAAGCATTGGCAGATGGGGAAGGGATGGGAGAAGGCGATGTTGAAGCCCCACCTCTCTCAGAGTCACACAGAACTGTGTTTGATTCTTGGCACAGCTACTTAATATCCATGTGACTTTGTAGATGACTTATTTTCTGGAAGTTGTAGTCTTTCTACACATTTTAAATAATAATAATAATAGAATAATGCTGATTCTTCTAAGGAACAAAAAAATGACATAAAATTTTTCCTTCTGTTCCACTTAGAGTCTCTGGCATCATTTTGGGGTTTGTGGGAAATTCATTCTCTTTAGAACAGAATGCTTCAAAGAGTGTGAAAACTTTCACAGAATATCATATAATCAGTTTCTGTCATGCAACTCTTTCCTTAGTTTCTAAAAAAAGAAGTATTGTAATGAGCCATATGCTCCTACCCCCAAATCAGAAAAATAATATTCGTATGTAAAGTTTATATATCTTTTCCTTAGTCTGAATTCTCAAATTAATCTGATTCATCTGTCATTAAAAAAACAAAAGGTGAAAACTAATCAGTTCTGTAAAGTGCTTTTTACTTACCTGTTCTACCAGGTGTCCAGGAATGCAGACCAGAAGTGCTTAATGAATTCTTAGATATACTTCACAACTGTTTGTTGCAATTTGTTCAGACCATCTGCTATTTCTGTAAAATACTAAATATTTTGTGTGATAGTGGTGTGTTTCTGTAGATGGGATAAGTGCTCGACTGTAAGGTCAGTTTGAACTGCAAGGTCAGCGGTTCAAACTCATCATCCGCTCATTCAAACCCTATACAGGGTCTCTATGAGTTGAAATGGACTAGATGGGATGACACTTAACCACAAATTGTAATGCAAATCAAAAGGTTCAGTTCTTTCTCTCAGAATTCTTGACCTGATCGACTATGTAAGACTTGCTTCATTTTTACTATAGAAAAAATAGGACAACATTTCCCTCTTTCTTTCACAGAAAAGTAAGAGAAGAGCTCTTGGAATTGTCAATTGTATTAGTGTAACTTACGAAATGCAAACATTCATTGTAATTGTATGATTTGTGGTCACCACCTAGTAGTAGAATAGGTTATGGGTTATGCTGCTAACCACAGGTCAGCAGTTTGAATCCAAAAGCCACTCCACAGGAGAAAGATGAGGCTTTCTACTCCTGTAAAGATTTACAGCCTCAGAAACCCTATACAGGGTAGGTATGATCAGGACTGACTCACGGGCAGCAGCAGCAGATCACAAATTATATTCATGTAAATAACCAATGCTGATGAAACCATTCCTCTAAATTAATCTGTGAAAAAAGAAATCCTACCAGGTTTCACTTTCTTCAAGTGAAATTGATAAACTATTTAATTTTTATTCTCATTCTTCTGAAAGTGGAAATTTAGTCACTTCCATGTGGCATTGTGAGTTAATGCGCTGGACAGCAAAGCTGTTTGAACTGCAAGGTCGGCGGTTCAAGCTCACCAGCTGTTCCTTGGAAACCCTATACATGGTCGTTATGGGTCAGAACTGACTCGACCGCACTTAACAACAACAGCAACAGTACTTTGGATTTAGTGGAATAGACAGATATTTTCTATTTAGTGGAATAGAAAAAGTAATTTGTATTCCTTGAAGTAACATCAACTTTTAAAAGTTATTTTTTGAACTTGATATCCAATTTAAATCTTCTTTTTGAAAGAAATAAACTTGTAACATCATTGCAGCCTTAAGTATACTTTAGTATTTACTCGTGCACTTTTCTCGATATCTTACAGGGAAACAGATTTGGCAGTTCTCCGACTAAAGTGATTCTAATACACTAAACAATATTATTAAATGGATTTACCATGCACTCAGAGAAAAAACAAAACTACGAAAACCCAAGGGCCAACTTAAAAGAAACAGCAAAAAATTAAAATAAAAAATAAGATATCTCCTTTCAAAAGTTCATTCTATTCTATCTAGTAGGGAGACCTCACTGTGTGGCACAAACAGTTAAGTGCTGTACATCCTACAAACTGAAGGGTTGGCAGTTCCAGCCCAGCCAGAGGTGCCTCGGGAGACAGTCCTGGGGATCTTGCTTCCCAAAGGTCTCAGCTGTAAGAGAGCCCTGTAGAACAGTTCTGCTCTGTACAAATGGGATCGCCATTGAGTCTAAATAAACTCCAGGGCAGCCCCAAATGACAGTGACAGTGGGGATACCCCCAAAGTACCACACTGAGTCTTCACACAATTGATAATATTCTTAAAACTTTCTTTTCCTTGTTGGATGGGCAATGATATTGGAAATAAACTTTTCTTTCTCATCCATTTTAATTATTCAAATAATGATTAGTAAGAGAAAATTTAATTGTTATCAAGAGGATATTGAAGGCTTGATGTGTGTACAGGCGCTATTTCCACTTCTGGGATCATTTAAGGAAATTGTTTTCACTAGACTCATGAAATTTGTGCCACACGTAAGTAAGTGGTGACTTTTTTCAAAACTATGTCATATAGCTTTCTCTTTTGAAATTCTTGACCTCGATATCTGGAATCTTAGGTGTCATTTTTCACTTTAGATCAAACCATGATGTGTTTCTGTTCAGTAAAATTATTAAAAATTTAAGTGACCATACATTACTTTTTCCCTAGTTGAAGACTATGAGATAAAGCTAAATAATGAATTAAACAAACTACGATTGTCTTCTTGTATTCTCAAACAAAATTAAGAAGTCTTACTGAAATTGTTGAATTAAAGTATTCATCAGGAAAACTCCCAACCAGGACACTTACACTTTTTCTATTCACTTTATCCTT